TTTTGAGCAGATAATAGACCTAAGAGAAAAAGTTTACTGGTGAGGAATGATGTGTGCTCTAAATTCAAAGTGAGAAACTTTTTTTTGTTTTCTTTAACCCTTTAACTGCGCGGCCTATAAATATGACATCCCCCCAGTGCGCAAGAAATGAAACCTCGGGAAAAAATTCTTTTTTCTTCTGAAAGTGTCAAAAACCCCTCCCTGTATATGGGTATAGCAACGGAAGCTCGAAATTGTACTTACTTTGGCTGCTATGGGGTCCGAAAGGTGGGGCGTGACGTCATCATTCCCGTGCGCCAGAGCAGTATGCTCCCGGGGCCAGTGGGGCGGCCGGGGAGGGGCGCGCAAGTTGCCGCGAATATATTTTTGTTCATTTTTTGTGCACAGTTCCAAACACATTTTATTTGTTTTTACGTGCTAATCCTATGTATAATGAACACGTACACTATATTATGGCAGTAAAACATCCGTACTGTCCGAAGACACTGTGTTACATGCATGACACTTGTGTACACATATGTTGCACATATTTACCATATATCATGCTAATTTATGTGTATATACAATCTATTTACAGACTATACACTGTCACACACTATATACATTCACCATCAACATACTCAGAACACCGCGAGTGTGAGCAGCCACACCCAGCCAGCCCTCCCTCACTCCAACATCTTACTCGCCAACATTGCTCCTCCCACTATACTGTTATTGTATTTATTACATGATTTACACATGTTATATATACCTATCTGCTTGTTTTATTTACCAGAACTATGCAAGTAACCCAGTATTGTGTCCAAACAGTACAGTGGCCACCATACACTGCATGACAAATCACACAGCAGACAGCAGACGACGCTATGATTACGACGTCACCTCCCTCACCAAAATAGCTCCTCACAACATACTCCTGGTGCTGTTATTACACTATTCACACACACTGTATATATTCGTGTACTGTGTGTTCCTCATAGTGAACCACGAAGCTAGTACGGTGAGCAAAACAAAGAGTTACTGCCACAGTGAGGCTACCTCAATTCTCTCCCTTCTGCCCTCCATCACCAAAATTCCTCCTTCCTACGCACAACGCTCATTATAACCACAATCCTGGTCACTAATATCTGTAAATGAATAATTGACCACAAGTTTATTTTGAAAAGGAACCTAAAAAGTTGTTTGAAGATTCCTAGATGGACGAAATAATGCTGTGGTGCTGTGGCTAGTGCTGTGAACATCGTGAACAGCATTGAATCACTGATATTTGAACATTGTACCCAGTCATTATCACACTCAAGCTCTTCTATAATACTATTATGGCTAAATAAAACAGATTATATATATATTTTGACAATACTGTATTAGGCGATGCTGTGGTCACATGCTGAACAGCAGTGCTGTACGCTCATGCTGCGAGCTCCAGCCTTGGTTGCTCACTCACTACTGAGGCTCTGACACCCGGCAATGTGGACCATGATTTTTTTTAAGATGGTGTCTGTTTACAAGAGCCCTGAGGAAGCTGATGTGAACCCCATGTAGCCGCGGGAGTTTTGAACCGAACGTGAAAAATAAAAACACCCGGAGGCGCGTTGCGCACCCGAAGCCTGGGCCTGCAGGCGCGTTGCGCAGTTAAAGGGTTAATGCTGAACAGAAGAGCATTCATTTCCTGTTATTCTCAAAGTGTATTTGATGCGGAAGAGGAATATTAGTGAGTCGGGATTAGGTTAGAAATACTGTAAGAGTAATCGGGCTCAAGTTAGAAATACATGTAAGAGATGCCAATCCGGATCCTTGTTAACCTGGAACTTTAGGTAATCTGGACAAAATCGAGTCCGAGTTTTGTTTGTCAAACTTCACGAAACTCGGACAGAAATCTGAATTACTGAGAGTTTCGGCCAGGTTGCTGAATGTAGTTGGGAGATCTATACTCACCAGAAGAATCCATAGCAGCTGGTAGTCAAAACTGACCTTGCCAACCGACCCTAACCATGTGCATTTATGTTTATAGCGAGTTGAAAGAGCTGGAATTCACAAGTTGAGAAAAGTTTGCAGCCATATCATGGGATTGAACCCATCAAATAGATGGGTTCAATCCTGATATATAAATCAGGACTGAACCCTGGATAGATAAATCACATTCTAATGATGTCTTGAGCTTTCTCTAAAAGCTTGGCTCTAAGCATCTTGACATCTGCTTCCTCACTCGATTAACACCAACATGTACACTTGGGCATCAGCCTAAGATTGAACATGACATAACACTTTTGACTCTTGGCACATAACCTTGTGTAGATGCAGTGAATAACACCTTGGCAAGTAACCTTGTATAGATACAGGTAATAACACCTTGACTCTTGGCGCATAACCTTGTGTAGATGCAGTGAATAACACCTTGACTCTTGGCGCATAACCTTGTTTAGATGCAGTGAATAACACCTTGACTCTTGGAGAGTAACTTCATATAGGTACTGTGCAGTATAGTATTTATTGTATAATATGTACATGTACATGTACAGCACAGTATTGTGATGTCTTTAGTGAAGCTGAATTGCGAACAACTACGTTCATACCCTAAGATGATCAAACGGCTGCACAGTATTTACCATAAGTCACTGTCGTGGAACCTATCCAATTTTTACAAAAATAATCTAAAAATAAATTTTGCAAAATTTTGTTATCTGGGAGCTATCCAGGCTGATAAGGATATCCCTAACTTTTGGCATGAGTCTTCTTGAGGTTATCTTGAGATGATTTCGGGGCTTTAGTGTCCCCGCAGCCCGGTCCTCGACCAGGCCTCCACCCCCAGGAAGCAGCCCGTGACAGCTGACTAACACCCAGGTACCTATTTTACTGCTAGGTAACAGGGGCATAGGGTGAAAGAAACTTTGCCCATTGTTTCTCGCCGGCGCCTGAGATCGAACCCAGGACCACAGGATCACAAGTCCCGCGTGCTGTCCGCTCGGCCGACCGGCTCCCTGAACTGAACCTGAGTCGATGTGGGTGGAGTTCTAGGCCTACCGGGGACCACGACCAGAATCTGGCCCCCTCAGAGAGGCACGAGAAGCAATGGCCTATAGAAATGCACATGGGTTTTTGGAACATTCTGTATCTGCCATCGACCGGGACAGGCACCCAGAAAGGTAATCGCCCCAAAACAAACCCCTATTCTGGTGAAAACGGCAAAAATAGACAAGTGGACAGAATTCCCCAAATGAAAACGAGCAAACAAGCATGACTTCACACGAGCCGCACCGCATGTCTGTCATGTCTTCAAGAGGAAATTAGATTGTTTTCTTTAAGGAGTGCCGGACCAACCGGGCTGTGGTGGGTATGTGGGCCTGAGGGCCGCTCCAAGCAACAGCCTGGTGGACCAAACTCTCACAAGTCAAGTCTGGCCTCGGGCCGGGCTTGGGGAGTAGAAGAACTCCCAAAACCCCATCAACCAGGTATCAACCAGGTATATCTGCGAAGCTTCCCCCACTGCGGGAGGGGGAAGGGAAAGAAAGCCCCAGATCCCCGCGCCGGCGATCCACACCGTAGTTCTTCTGCCGACGGGATACAGCAAAGTCGTATGGCTCTAGCTCCGGATTCTTGTGCTGTGCTGTCCCCCGTTTCAGTACTGCTCTTACGGTGACGAAGAATGAGACTGCTGCTTTCTGGAGGGGTCCTTGGGTTGTTGGTGCTTGGTTGGTCAGGCTGGGGATGCATCATGTGTTTTGTCCGGTTGCGGCCCTCCGCCGTTATTTGCGTGCCATGGCTTCTTGGTCCGGGGACCCACTTTGGGTTGATCCGGTTTCCCTTCTTCCCTGTTCGCGGGTACGGGTCTCTCACGTCGTCCGCAGGATTATTAAGTCTAGCCAGCCTGCGATCTATCCCAGTGCCCATGACGTTCATAAGTTTGCTGCTCTTGCTTCCGTCTTTGGTAACATGTCCTGGGCTGACATTTGAGCGCTGGGCTTTTGGCGGTTGAACAGGGTCCTGGCTGCACGCTACCTTGTTAACGTTCCTGGGCCTAGTCGGGCCTTGTGTTGCTTTGGGTTGGTGGTTGCAGCCAATTGTCTTGACTTTGAGTCAAGATGTGAGCACCGACCGCCTCTCAGGTAAGTCCCATTCTTTTGTCTTTGGTGAAGTAGCTCTGCGGAGCCGTAGGGGCTCCCCTGAGAAAGAACGTACTGAAACGCTATTTTCTGAGTGAGGCCCGGAGGCTCCCCAGTAACCCTCCCTCCCTCTCTCTGGTCGGCGGTTTTACGTGTATTTTGATATCCAGCCTCAGAACTGGGGATGTGGATCGCCGGAGCGGGGGTCTGGGGCTTTCCCCTTTCCCCTCCTGGGGAGGGGGGAGCTGCGCAGACGTGCGGCGCAGCTCGTGTGACGTCATTCTTGTTTGCTTGTTTACATTTGAGGAGTTCTGTCCCACTCGTTTGTCTATTTTCTTCATTTTTACCAATATAGGGGTTTGTTTTGGGGCGCTTACCTTTCTGGGTGCCTGTTCTGGTTGATGGCAAATATAGAATGCTCCAAAATCACATGTTCATTTCTATAGGTTATTGCTCCTCGTACCTCTCTGAGGGGGCCAGGTTCTGTCCGTGGTCCCTGGTAGGCCTAGAACTCCACCCACATCGACTGATGCCAAAAGTTAGGATATCCTTATCAGCCTGGATAGCTCTGGGGAGCTTCTGGGACTCACCCAGAAAATGGCATTTCATTACATTCAGCGCTGGTTTTTTTGGGGAGGGAAGTCTTGAGGAATTATCTTTGTAAAGTATCAGAATATTACTGCATATATTGATGTAAAAATTCAGAATTTTGCTGCATATATTGAGACAGAATATGGTGGTGGTGTTCTGTTTTGACACTTTACTTACCTTTTAGAGTGTCTCTTTATATCACTAGTAATATCATCTAATGTCATTGCATTTTTAGTCTAATGACTAATTGAACTGAATTTTAATTTATAGCTTGAACTGTGTTGCATTGTGTATTTTGTTTTGCCACAGCTACACTCCCCGTGACCCCGTCATGAACTCGGAGACATATCATTACAAGCGAGGAGCGAATCAGCAGTTCTCGCAAGTGTGTCACGTCTTTGATCCTTCTCTGTATCCTGAGGAAGAGCTGTTGTATAGCTTCGACCGAGAGATTTTGCCTATTGTGATATATTGCGTAGCAGAAGAAGGAGAGGGTAAGTTACTTTCAAATATAAATACTGTACACAGTTTTAGATTTTGAGTAGAGTGATGAACTTGCTTTTGAAGATTAGATACCTTCCTATAAGGTACACTAAAACATTAAAAAAGTATTTCAGATATCCTATTTAATTGCTCAAATCATAAAAATGTGATGTATCTATGAGAATATATGAATATATTGTGGTCATACAATAAGATCGAACCCTCATCCTCGGAATCCCAGTTGCATGCACTACTGTGTAAATGATCCTGAGGTAACTCAACATGCTATGGAGGGATATTAAAATTGCTTAAATTTAAGGGGAAGTTACATAGCGTGTTTCTTCATGTAGCCAACAGAGAAGAATATTGTATACCGAAGCATGTTGAGTTACCATTCCAGAATGGACCCAGAATTTGGGTCCTGGTAGTACAGTCGGATTCATTCTCAAAGCACAGTCGAGACTTCTGGGTTCGCATCCTGGGCGAGACAGAAATGGTGGGGCACATTTCCTTTCACCTAATGCCTCTGTTCACCTTGCAGTAAGATAGGTACTCAGGAGTTAGTCAGCTTGTTGTGGGGTTGCATTCTGGGTGGGGTCAGTAATTTGACCTTGAAGGGGGGATGGAGGCCTCAATATAAGCCTAACGTGTATGAATACACACTGGCTTCCTGTCTCCCGACACAATGAATTCATTTCAATGAAAATAATATCATACACGTTTTTATTTTTACAGATCCTCGTCAGTCGCACGTTACATTTGCAATGGTGGAGAGACACAGTGATGGTTATGCTCTCAAACCTCTCAAACAGAAACTATTTGTGGATGGCCTCTCCTATCTTCTTCAGGAGATCTATGGCATAGAAAACAAAAATGCAGACAATTGTAAGGTCAGTATTGAAATATTTGCTGAATTTGTAATGGAGGAAGGGAGTTATGAGGAGAAATTGCCAAGCCATTACAACTATGTAGCACTGGGAAGGGGTCATGATAAGGATTTGGGATGGGACGTGAGGGAAGGAATGGTGCCCAACTACTTGGACAGTCGGATTGATTGCCGACCTGCATGAAGCAAGACTGTCGCTCTACGGATGTGGGGGACTTGCTAGAAAGGCTTGAAATGTGACTCGGTGTCTGATGGTTAGAAAGGGTAGATTAATATACTAACTTGATTTGGTTTCCCAAAGTTGGGGACAGGAAGCCTGTTATGTTTGTGGTCATCCCTAGGCCAATGGCTGCTCTTTTCCCTAGTTGCAACCTCCAACAATTTTATTGTCCCAGGGTACCTATTTACTGCAAGCTAGGTGAACAGCGGCATTGGGTGTACGGAAACATGTCGTCTGAAAATTTAACTTTGGCCCAATCAAAGAAAATGTAACTTTGGCCCAATCAAAGAAAATGTAACTTAGCCCAATCAAAGAAAATGTAACTTAGCCCAATCAAAGAAAATGTAACTTTGGCCCAGTGAGTAACTATGCCGACTACTGTGCTCCAGGTCACCATAGTGTGCAGTACGGGAGATAAAACACTCGAGTGCAGGAACTAGAGGCGTTAATCTTCCCAGCATTATGGGCAAAGTGTATTATGAGGTACCTGGATTGTACCTGGATGGGGTTCTGGGAGTTGTTCTGCTCCTCATGCCCGGCACGGGGCCAGGCTTGACTTGTGAGCCAACTTGTGAGCCGAGGCTACATCGTGTACTGATGTATTGCCCTTGATCTTTTTGCATTATCGGTTTCAGTCAAAATACAATACAATAAGAATAACAATGGTTGATTACAATATTGTAGTTAAATTAATTTAGCTTTGTTATACTGTATTTAAAGTTCTTGTAATTACTGTAATTAATTTAGATATTAATTCAAAAGGTACTGTAAAAGGTGTATGATTAACAATGTGGGTGGATATAAATAGGAGTGCCCTCATAATTACCTAAGTGTAATTACCTAAGTGTAGTTACAGTATGAGAGCTACGCTTGTGGTGTCCCGTCTTCCCAGCACTCTTTGTCATATAACGCTTTGAAACTACTGACGGTTTTGGCCTCCACCACCTTCTTGCCTAATTTGTTCCAACCGTCTACCACTGTTTGCGAAAGTTAATTTTCTTATATTTCTTCACCGTCTTTGTATAGTTAGTTTAAATCTGACCTCTTGTTCTTGAAGGTCTCAGGAGTTCTTCACTATCAATTTTGTCGATTCTCATTACTATTTTGTACTTAGTGATCATATCGCCTCTTTTCTTCTATCTTCTAGTTTTGGCATATGTTTTTGTAATGTTCTTCTCGACTGCCATTTTTTTTAGATTGGTGCTATGTTTGCCTTTTTCCATATATCTGCGAAGATTCCTGTGCACAAGGATGTCTGTAATATCAATTGGAGTAGAATGCTCAGCTCAGTTGCACATTCTCGCAGCACCCTAGGTGAAACTCCATCAGGTCCAATCGCTTTATTTCTTCCTAGCCCCTTGAGTAATTCTACAACTTCATCTTGGGAAACTTCTTCGTATTCTATGGTGTGCTCTGGAATTGGCATTGGATCTGGTTCTCTGAAATCCTCATTGTGCACAAACACACTTTTGGAACTGTTCATTTAATGTTTCACACACTTCTTTTTCATTCTCAGTAGTCCTGTTACCCATCCTCAATCTCTGGATATTAGGTTTTACATGTAGCATTCTTTTAATGAAGTTATAGAAAAGGCCTGGATCAGTTTTACATTTGCCTATACCTTTCTCAAAGTTCCTTTTTGCTTCTCTCCTCACTGCTGTTTAATTGTTTCTTGCTTGTTTGTAATGCTGTTATGTTTGTTGGTTAGGTCTCTTCTGATATTGAACCCATTTTCTTGTCTTTCCCTCTCTGGCCCTCTCACATTTTCTGTTGAACCAATCCTGTTTTCTGGTTCTTCATCTGTTTTGGTATGAATGTTTGTGTGCCTTCATTGTATATTTTGCAAAATTTGGCATACATCTCATTTACTTCCTTGCCTGTCTGTCTGTCCAGTTAAACTCATTAAGAATTTTCTAAGGTTCCCATAGTGTCCTCTCTTGAAGTAGACTTTATCAACTGTTTCAATGCCCCCATTCTCTTCTAGATTATAACGCATATTTAATTTCCAACAGGACATGACCACTCTTTCTCAAGGGAGGAAGGTACTGGATGTCAACTATCTCTTCTTTCCTGGTGAATATTAGATCCAGTATTGACGGAACATCCCCTTCCCTCATTTTTGTGGCCTGCTTGAAGTGTTGATACATGAATGTCTCCAGAATGAGATTTACAAATCTTCCTGTCCAAATGTCCTCCGTTTTTGCTTCGTAGGCCTCCCAGTTTTTGCTTCGTAGGCCTCCCAGCTTTAAAGTTGAATTCCCTCAGTACCAACAGTCGTGACTTATCTTTATCTGATCTCACATATCATGACCATTAAAAGGCCCTCTCGTTTGTCATCCAGTTCCTCCTTTGTCCATGTGTTGCTTGTTGGTGGGCTGTAGGCATTTACAATTATCAGTTTATTATTCTGATTCCAGACCTGCAATGCCAATATGTCAACATCTTGACGGTTTTTGATCATTAACACACTTACCTTCAGGTGTTCTCTCACCAGCACAGCCACTCTTCCCCCTTCCTAGTTTTTCTGTCATGTCTCCAAACTAAGTAGCCCCTTGGCAATACCACCTCATTTAAAATATTTCCTTAAAGTTTCGTCTTTGTTAGTGCAACAATAATATCTGGGACCTAAAGCTGAATTGTATCTCTTAGTTCCAGTTTTTTTTTTTATCTCACTCCATCCATGTTGGTATATACAATTTTCAGGAACATGTTCCCTTTCCCTTTATTCTTTACACCCCCCCCTTCTTCAAATGATTTTGTTGCTTTGTCTTTATTTACCATTTTACTATCTTTCCAGTCCCTAACACTTTGTAGGTAAAACGAATTCTTTCTTTTTCATTGCTATTCCCATTTAGACGTTTTGCTTCATCGAGGTTTGTTTTCAACTTTTCTTTGTTTTCCTTTGAAAGGTCTTGTCTTTTTTTACCAAAGTTTGCCAACCTCATCACTGCAAATTCCTGGCATTTCTAAGCACTTCTGTCATTTGTTTCACTCCATTAAATGTCACTCTTAAGGGGCAGTTCTTGTCTTTTTCATATTTTCCTATTCTAAAATCACTGACATTTTCCTTTGAATTTAGGCCTTCTACTATACCTACTATTTTTTCCATGAATTTCATCTCTTCTGCTGCTCTGTCTATCCTAGATAATATTTCCTTTTCTAAACACCCAAAACTTATTATGAACTTCTACCTGCAGTGTTTTGTACTACTGTAGTTTACTGTTTGTAACCTGTTCTTTCTTAATTTCTTGCCTAACTTCTGCTTCTTGTTGGTCATTTCTGGTTATGACTTCCGAACACACTACCTTGATTGTTTCTTTCTCTTTTACAACTTGGCATACGTCTCTTTAATTTCCTCTTTGTACTTTTCTAGTTATTTATTAACCTCCTCTATGCGAGTTGTCCATCATGAAGTTTTTATTTGAATATCCATGTCTAACTTTCTATTGGCCTTTAGGGTTTCTTAGAGTTGTTCACCATATGATTCTATTTTCTTGTTAATTTTGTCAAATTCACAACTCTTTACTTTCCATACCTCATTTTCTTTCACTAGTTACATGTGTGGATTGTATTCGTGTGGATCAGTAGGAACTACCTCGTGGGCCAATAGGCCTGCAGCAGTTTCCTTTATACTTATGTTCATTTATTTTCTGTCTTTAAATGTATTTTTATTGCCAAACAAAAAAAATGGTGTGCAACAGCTTTTTTGACAACAGATTAGAAACCTTTAATCCTTGTCTTCATTGCACTGTTTGATGTGTGAACCAGTGGCAAGGGTGACACAAAGATTAATTCTGATTTGATTGAGAGGCGAAGCATTTGATCAATAAATATGAACAGTTTCATGGTATTGATTTATGAAGAATAAGGCAGACTATGGTTGTGTTTCAGGTTTCAACCGAGGTCATGGTATTATTGATTTATGAAGAATAAGGCAGACAATGGTTGTGTTTCAGGTTTCAACTGAGGAAGATATTGAAGATAACGGAGCCGAGTGTGTCATCTGCATGTGTAACCTGCGGGACACGCTGATCCTGCCGTGTCGTCACCTGTGTCTCTGTAACTGCTGTGCCGACTCTCTCAGGTACAATTCTTCCGTCGTTATTGCTGCACTAGCTCTCGGCAGCTAAATCACGTGTGCTAAAATCTAAGTGTACATTGTTTAAATTTTCAAGATACTGTATAGAGATCGGTATTGCTCTACGGAATACATTCTGTGCAATGAATCCTCAAACATTGGAACTAGAGTACTGTACTGTAATTGTGAATTGACCTGTTGCAAATTTTAGTGACTTCTCATTTTCAACTCAATTTTTGTTTCCTTACAGAAATAAAAACATTTTTGCATGCACTGAGACCTGCAGACATTTTCCAGAACGTATGATGTTTTGTTTACACTTGTAATATAATGCACAGTACTTACCTAAGTGTAGTTACAGGATGAGAGCTACACTCATGGTGTCCTGTCTTCCCAGCACTCTTTGTCATATAACGCTTTGAAACTACTGCACTGACAGTTTCGGCTTCCACCACCACCTCACTTAGCTTGTTTCAACTGTCTACCACTCTGTATAAGAAAACTTTCTAATATTTTTTCGATTCCCCTTGTTTCCTTAGTGTGAATCTATGTTCTCTTTTTCGTGAAGTTGGTGGTTTCAGGAATTCCTCTTTGTCAATTCTGTTGATTCTTGCTTGTATTTTTTAAGTGGTGATCATATCACCTCTTTTTCTACTATCTTCTAGTTTTAGCATGTTTAACGCCTCTAGTCTTTCCTCATAACTCTTGTTTTTCAGTTCCAGAAGCCATTTTGAAACATGCTGTTGCACCTTTTCCAGTTTATTTATGTGCTTCTTTAGATTTGGGCACCATACAACTGCTGCATATTCCAATTTTGGTCTCACAAAAGTCATGAACAATTTCTTTAGTATTTCACCATCCATATAAGTAAAAGCAAGTCTGAAGTTAGAAAACGACACATGCTTTCACAATGTTCTTTAACCCTTTAACTGCGCCACCTCCAAATATGACACCCCCACCCTAGTGCGCAGGAAATAAATTCTCTTGAATTTTTTTTTTTTTTTTTTTTTTTTTTTTTTTTTTTTTTTTTTTAAAGTGCCAAAAACCCTTCCCTCGGTATGGGTATGTCAAAAATTTTTCGAAATTCTACTTACTTTGGCTGCTATGGGGTCCGTAAGTTGGCGCATGACGTCATCATTTCCCGTTCGCCCGTGACGTACGCTCCCGGGGCCAGTAGGGCGCCCGGGGCAGGGCGCGCAAGTTGCTGCGAATATGTTTTTGGTCATTTTTTGTGCACCGTTCCAAATACATTTAATTTGTTTTTACGTGCTAATCCTATGTATAATGAACACGTACACTATATTATGGCAGTAAAACATCCGTACTGTCCACGGACACTGTGTTACGTGGATGACACTTGTGTACACATATGTTACACATATTTACCATATATCATGCTAATTTATGTATATTTACAACATATGTACACACTATACAATGTCACACACTATATACATTCACCATCAACACATTCAGAACACCGCGAGTGTGAGCAGCCACACCCAGCCAGCCCTCCCTCACTCCAACATCATACTCGCCAACATTCCTCCTCCCATCATACTGTTATTGTTTTTATTACACTATTTACACATGTTATATATACCTATCTACATGTTTTATTTACCAGAACTATGCAAGTAAGCCAGTATTGTGTCCAAACAGTACAGTTGCCACTGTAGCGAGTAGATTATCCAATAATATACTCGCTCCAAATGCATTGTTAATATTCCTGTCAACCTTTGGAGATGAATGAGGTGAGGCATTGCCTGGGCAACACGGTGAGGTGTTGCCCGAGCATATAAGCAGCAGAATAGCAAACATTAAACTAGTCTACTTTCAAGTGTGGTCTAGAGCAGACACTTGCGAGATACTGTACCGCTCAGTGCGCTCAACTCACACCAAAGTATCACCTGTGTACTTCTGTATATTCGACCAAATATATATATAGTATCTTAGTGTCTGTGTTTATTTGTCACCATACTTTACGTAACAATAGAACCGTTACACCACCATACACTGCATGAGAAATCACACAGCAGACAGCAGACGACGCCATGATTACGACGTCACCTCCCTCACCAAAATAGCTCCTCTCAACATACTCCTGATGCTGTTATTACACTGTATACACACACACTGTATATACTCATGTACATATGTGTTCCCCATAGCGAACCACTAAGCTAGTATGGTGAGCAAAACAAGAGTGGCTGCCACACATAGTAAGGCTACTTCAGTTCTCTCCTTCCTCTCTCCCTCCCTCACCAAAATTCCTCCTTCCACAATACTATGCACAATGCTAATTATAACCACAATCCTGGTCACTAATTCCTGTAAATGAATAATTGACCACAAGTTTATTTTGAAAAGGAACCTAAGAAGTAGTTTGAAGATTCCTAGATGGACGAAATAATGCTGTGGTGCTGTGGCTAGTGCTGTGAACATCGTGAACAGCATTGGATCACTGATATTTGAACATTGTACCCAGTCATTATCACACTCAGGCTCTTTTATAATACTATCATGGCTAAATAATACAGATTATATATATTGACATTATTAGGCAATGCTGTGGTCACACGCTGAAGAGCAGTGACCGCTTATGCTGCGAACGCCAGCCTTGGTTGCTCACTCACTACTGAGGCTCTCACACCCGAGAATGTGGACCACGATTTTTTTTAAAGATGGCGTCTGTTTACAAGAGCCCTGAGGAAGCTGATGTGAACCCCATTTAGCTGCGGGAGTTTGAATGGAACGTGAAAAATACATATACCCGGAGGCACGTAGCGCACCCCAGACGTAAAATGGGCATACTCGTTCCATTTTTCTCATCTTAATTCTTGTGCTACGTCACTCGTTTTGGTATCATTGTGTTTGCAATTAAATTCCCTACAGGTGTGCGTGAATATAATGTACAAAAGTTTGGAGTGCCTCCCCGCAGAAAAGCCTAAAGTTACCCATGAACGAGCACCCATTTGTACACTGCAACCTAATGTGTATACTCGTTCAGTTTGATAACATCAATTTTCGTGTTACATCTTTCATTTTGGTATCAAATTGTTCGCAATAAAAAGGCGCGTATTTTAAAACTAGTCCCATAATAATAGAGCAATAACTGGAATTTTAACAAATATTTTAATTCTGGAAGCTCATCATCACAAAATTATTTATATCTTTCCAGTGTTCTGACATAAATTTTTGTGTTACATCTTTCATTTTGGTATTAAATTGTTCGCGACGTAAAGGCGCACATTTTAAAACTAGTCCCAACATAATAGCACAATAAATAGAATTTTAACAATTATTTTAAAATTTTGACCAAAAACCTATTTATAATCATATAAGTGTTCGGACATCAACTTTCATGTTACATCTTTCATTTTGGTATCAAATTGTGCGCATTCTAAAGGCGCTTATTTTGATACTATCCCGAGGTCGATTGGATAAAAAATGAATTTTATACAAATATTTTTGTAGTGGATGCAAGTCCGGTCCAAAGTTAGGATTCAGGAGAAAAATAATGAACGCGAGTCCGGTCCAAAGTGACCGATAGTGTTAAATTCTTTACAAAGAATTCAAGCTCGATCGTCATTAGGGGGGGAGGCACTGGTAAAATGAAGTGTGCCTCGCCCTTGTCACCAGGAACCACACACCTGGTCGACCCATACGTGTATCAACAAACACGCCAAGTGAGGCAAAGCTCATAAACCGAGTCAAATTTGAAAAAAAAATTGAGCTTGTAAACCGAAAAATTCGTAAAGAAGGACATTGATACCTGCTTGATAGGGTTCTGGGTGTTGTTCTCCCCAAGCTCGACCCGAGGCCAAGCTTGTCTTGTGAGAGCTTGGTCCAACTGGCTGTTGCTTGGAGCGGCCTTCAGGCCTACATACTCACCACAGCCCAGTTGGTCTGGCACTTCTTGAAGATGTCCACGGTTGTTCCGGCGATATTTCTTATACTCGCTGAGAGGATGTCGAACAACTGTGGACCTCTGGTGTTTATACAATGTTCTCTGATTATGCCTATGGCACCCCTGCTCTTCACTGGTTCTATTCTGCATTTTCTTTCATATCGTTCACTCCAGTATGTTATTTTACTGTGTAGATTTGGTACCTGGCCCTCCAGTATTTTTCTTGTGTATATTATTTGATATTTCTCTCGTCTTCTTTCTAGTGAGTACATTTGGAGAGCCATGAGACGATCCCAATAATTCAGGTGCTTTATGTCGTCTATGTATGCTGTATGTGTTCTCTGTGCTCTCTCTTTCAGCAATCTCTCCTGTTCTGAAGAGAGAAGTGAGTACTGAGCAGTACTCAAGACAGGACAGCACAAGTGATTTGAAAAGTACAACCATTGTGATGGGATCCCTGAATTTCATAATTCATCCTATCATTTTTCTGGCGGACGCAATATTTGCTTGGTTATACTCCCTAAACGTTAGGTCGTCAGACATCATTATTCCCAAATCCTTTACATGTTGTTTTCCTACTATGGGCAGATTTGATTGTGCTCTGTACCCTGTATTATGTTTAAGGTCCTCTTTTTACCGTACCTTAGTACCTGGAATTTGTTACTGTTAAACATCATGTTATTTTCTGCTGCCCAGTCAAAAACTTTATTTTAATCTGCTTGTAGTTTATCAATGTCTTCAGCAGAGGTAATTTTTATGCTGATTTTTGTGTATCTGCAAAGGATGATACGAAGCTGCGATTTGTATTTTTGTCTGTATCTGATATGAGAATAAGAAAAAGCAGTGTTGCAAGGACTGTACCCTGAGGTGCAAAGCTTTTACCTGCACTTGCACTCGATTTTATATGGTTGACTGTTACTCTTTGTGTTCTGTTTGACAGAAAACTGAGTATCCCCTGTCCTCTTTACCAGTTATTCCTATTGACTTAATTTTGTGTGCTATCACTCCATGGTCACATTTATCGAATGCCTTTGCGAAGTCCGTGTACTGTACTTATCAGTTAGGTGCCAAGTCGTGTATGAATACCAGGCAATAACATTGCAGATGAAGCTGTAAAACTTGCAGCTAAAAGGAGTAACGTAGACATTTACATACCACAAAGTCTAGCACAGATTAAGAAAATAATTACAGATAGAGCAATGCAGAAGATATACAGTGACCACAACACAACAGCTGCAACATCAGGATCTGTGGGGTTGGTACAAGAATTCAACCAACTGTGAACCACTTAAATTGGAATCACTTACCATGGCCACCCTCATGTTGCGTGAGGGTGTTCGTCCCCGAGAGGCCAGCCTTCTGACAGAGGGTACTGCACCCTGAGTTGTGCATGGGTTGTGACTTGTGTGGCTTTGTGGTTGGGGACATTCGGGTTTCTTCTCTGGGGTGCACAGTTGGTTCCCGTGCTTTGTTTATATGACATACCACTTACACTTTTGTCAGCCGCATTTGCCACTTTTGGCTGTATTAGATTTTTTTTTTCTTGGTGAGTGACTCTTGTGCCTGGGGTTCCTCGATTGGCTTGCCGTCAGGTCTTGCAGTCTTTGGTGTGGTTCAGGCTGAACCGTTGCGCTGAGCCTGCTCTCGCTGATGGCGAGTTTGGTAATGCTCATTGGAGGTGCTTCATGTCAATGGTCATTCATTTGGTTTGATCCCTTCCACCCTGAGGTCTGCATCATTTATCATTGTGTGTGTGTGTGTTGACTCCTTTCCCGTGCCAGCGTATGGATCTCTTTCTTGAGGGGTAGGTATCACTTCTCTTTTCTCCTCTCCTCTCTCACTGCTCCTCTCTCACTGCTCCTCTTTCCTCCCCATCTTTTTCTGTTCTTTCCTTCACTTCCCTTCCCTTCATTCTAGAATTGTGTTGTGTTTCCTGTGTAGCTGTCTTGTGTGTGTAGGGTCACTTTGGACCTTTTTTCCCTTCCAGTGCAGGTTTTACTGGAGAGGCCAAATTGTGGCTCACTGAAGCTAGTTGCACTGAGATAGCTCTACACATATACAAGTCACATAAGCCCTTGTGGGTCCTTTAAAAACTTAACAGAGACCAGAGGCCTGGTCCTGGCACCTCACAAAGGTGCTAGGAGCAGAGGAGTCATGATCGTCAAACAAAGAAACAAATCCCCCAGGAAGGAAGTGAAGCAAAACAGACAACTGCAAGGTTCATAGAAAGTTAACAAACAGTGCAGCCAATGATTCAGAAAATGCTCCATATAGTAGTTAGGTCATACAGAGAATAGTAACAACTGGCCACCACCAAGTTTGGTGAGAAGCTGACCAGAGTAGCTAGCAACAGGGAACCACCTCGGGCCCACCAGAAAGAAGCGTTTAACACTTTTGCTGCCCGATCACGCATATTCCCTCATAAAACCAAAAACTGGAGAGTGTGTGATGGCAAACAGTGTCATGCAAACATTTTTGCAATGGGCTTATTATTAAGTATAAACATTGTGGGTGAATGAGTGTAACATTGGGTTGTGTGCTCCGGGAATGCTCAGCCTACCTTCCGGTGTGGTTTGGGTGCCCTGCTGGGCCAGCAAAAGTGTTAATTACATTTGACACGGGTTTTATTTTGTCAGGTATCAAGCCAACAACTGTCCTATTTGCCGTGCACCTTTCCGTGCTCTGCTCCAGATAAAAGCCTTGCAGAAGAACTCGGGAGCTTGTACCAATCCACAACCAAGTTCTGAGGTAAGGATCTTGCCGTCAGTCTGCAGTGTGAAGCAATTCTTGCATGCTATAAAGCACTTCATAGTTCTTTATTAATTATTTAGCATAGTCAGAGTCGGTTGCATGCATGATTAAAAACCTTTGTGGTGCATTCTGGCATTAACTGCCAAGAGTGAGGCTAAAAATCATATACATTTGACTTGTCTTTATTTAAGTGTTAGAGCGGCCTAGCTGCATAAATGTAAATACTGTACTGAATTAGCATGCATTGAGTAAAAGACTAAAACAGGTGAGAAATTTCAAGGATGTTACATTTTTGTTGAAAGTAAGCTTTACGTTAATAACCCAACCCACACGTATGAAAAGAAAGGAAAGTGACGATTTTTTTTTCTCTGTCCAGGACTCCTGTTAAGTCATCTAGGACAGACTAAAATGTTGTCACTTTCCTTTTCATGTGTGTGGGAGAAGTTTATAAATTTCAGCTATGATATTGTGATACACTCTGATTTAAATACATCATGGCATGTGAAATCCTTTTGTCGAAATTCTTTGTATATCCTTTTTGATGCACCGTGATATTCTCTTTGCAATATGGGTCCTGTAGCAGTGGTCTATATATACCTAACTCTCGGTCGAGGATCCCAGGTTTGATCCTCGGGTTGAGTACATAGAGGATGTTTCCTTGCATCTGATGCCTCTTGTTTACCTAACAATAAGCAAGTATCTGAGAGTTAGACAATTCACAGAGAAATCGCATTATCATGATATATCAACGAGGAAATCCACAGGAGCTGTGATGAGGACTCGAACATATATGCTGAGTGTTCCCAGATGTACGCTATAAAAATTGTGATTTCTCTGTGTATTGAAAGAGGGGCGTCAGAGGTTTGGCTCTGGTTTGGCTTCAGTGGAAGCCTCGGGAATCTTCGAGGGTGCTGTAGTACCCCCAGGATGCAATACTTTTACCATGTTGTGGTGTAGTCATTTAGAGCGTGCATTTGGGAATACCCAGCACATAGGTTCGATCCTCATCACGGCTCCTGTGGATTTAGACAATTGCTGCGAGTTGCATTCTGGGATAGGTCGGTAGTTGGCCTAGTGGGGACTTCAATAAGCATAAGTACAGGTTTCCTGTCCCTGACAATGAGAATTATAATGGCTAGAAAAGGCAAAGTGCTCGAGTACTGACTCTTATTCCATGTTGTCTGTGTCCACACATTCATTGCAGGTCATGCTGATCGTATGAATATTTTATCAAATAATTCAAATAATATTAATAGCATTTGCAAAATTAATATTTTGCAGTGGTTCATGTATTGTTGCAAGAGTTTTCATGCTAGTGTTTAAGGGTGAACAGTTGCAACTTGAAAATCTGACCCAGGATTCAACAAGCACGTAAGTGTCCTCTTAAGAGACAGGTACATCTTACCTCCATTATGGCAGTGTAAGTCTGTATTTATTAACACTTTCGCTCACCCCACGCGCCACCCCTCGACAGGGCGATATGGGCCCCAGCGTGTCACGGAAGCGCGCGTTAATTCCGAAAAGTGTATACTCTCTTCAACTTTGTCACCTCAATTCTCCTTCTACGAGATTAAATTTGGTATCATTGTGTTCGCAATAAAATTCTCTACAGCACTAAATGCATATAAACTCCAAAAGCCCGGCTAATTACCCGCAGCAAACAGAGAAAGTGCGAACGAGTTACCCGGGAGCGCGCAAACGGGATAAAATGTTTTCACTATTTTCACTCTGGTCACCTCAATTTTTGTCCTAGGTCTTTCATTTTGGTCTCAATGGGTTCGTAATAAAATTCTCTAGAGGAACATTAGCATATAAAAAAAAAACCTGGTCACGCTCCAACCGCCGACGAGTTGAAGACGGGCCACGCGTTAGCCGTGAGTGAGCGCTCAGAGGCCTTCCTGCTACACTCCCAATTCCCTTCCTTTTCAAGCCTTTCTTTCGCAATTTTCTTCCTGGAAGGGCCTTGTTCATGATTACTATCCATCGTGGAGTAAGCGTAGATAGTTTCTAAAGCCGCAGTAAGAAATATAGCCACGGAAAATAGCCGAAATGTTCACACGTTTGAGATGCGAGGGGAGGCGACATTGGTCACAACAGTGGAGCAAAGACAATGGGCCCACGGCGTGTGCCAAGCCGCCTGAGGGCCACGAGGCTCAACAAAGAAAATGGGAAGACATCGGCGCACATTTTAAAACCAGTCCCAAAAAAATCGGATAAAAACCTGATTTTTGGCGAATTTTTAAAGTGGATGACGCAATGCTGCGTCATCCCCAGCATTACCGCCAGTAAACGGATGACGCAATGCTGCGTCATCCCCGAGCGAAAGTGTTAAACAGTTTATGAACTGGGAAGCACAGCCGGGTTGTCTATAACAAAAATAATAGTGATAGAGAACAAGCTCGCAGCATTTCATAGCTCATAAACGGATTAATAAATGCAGACTTTAGCTGCCAAGATGGAGGCAAGATGCACGGGTGTTATAGTGGCCACGTTGATGTCTGTTGAATCCTGGCCCTGAAAGCTAGCTAGTTTCCAAGCTTTATTTTTTGTTATTACCAGTATGTAACGCATTGAATTAAGTTTTCTGAAAGGGCTCATATTGGTGGCTTCTTGGTGGAATAAGAGTCTACCTGGTAAGCTCCACCCCAATTCAATCCCTTGTGAGTCATTGTAAGTCTACTGGGGACAAAAGGCCTAAATCTGGGCCCCTCTCCTCCCCCTCTAAAAGAGGTGCAAGGAGCACGAGATTCTAAATTGCCCTAGCCAAGAAAAAGCCACCAGACAGGTGGGTGAACCAAGGCATACATAAAGCAAGTTAAACAAACCACAGAGACACAGTGAAACTCCAGTGAGCGACCTGGTAGTGAAGCAGTTCTTTCGTCAAGTCCACCTGCACGCCACCAAGGAAATGTGCACGTTCCTCCACAATCCCCTAGCCTTGTAATTTTGCCTGCTCCATATTTGTATGACATCGCAGTTATGCTCCTCATTCCTGCCATCTCTTAGTCTTTAGTGTATTGAAAACAGTGTAATGTGTCTTAGTGCATTAAAAACATGCATCATGCTTCATGATGTATGTTTTTAATGCCTCACTTCGTGTGTCCGTGAGTAACTGTTTACCTCAAACTTGTTGTTGTTGTAAATGTTGACCAAACCACACTAAAAAGTGAAGGGACGACGACGTTTCGTTTCTAAACTCAAAACTTTTACTAATACCTTTCGTCTTCTTGACATAAAGCTCGCCTTTCGACAAACGAGCACACTTCGTAGCAATCTAGTTCACACTGCTCCTCCTGCTTTTAATGCTGCTGGTGTCTACTCTATTTCTTGTTCATCTTGTCCTCTCCAATACCTTGGTGAAACTGGCCATACACTTAACGACAGACTTAAAGAATACAAAAGAAGTGTTAAGTCTGCAGACACAAACAATGATCCCTTCTGTCATGTTAGGGATTCTAAATATCCTATTGATTGGTCTTCCTCCAAAATAATCTTTCCTGCCTCTACTCTACAGACGTCGTCTTGTTGAATCAGCTCTAATACACAACCTACCCAACATGAACTTTAGTCCTGGCTCGTCGCTGTTGACTCTTCCCTTTCACAGTATATACTCAAATGCTCTAAACTTTCAAACAAACGTGATCTAACATAAGCTTACCCTTCCATTTATCCTTCTTTCTCTTTCCTTCTTTCTTTTTCTTGCCCTTGTTATCTCTTACGATCCCTTGCTTATTCCTATTACTATCCCCTTCTTATTGGGTGGTTATAAATAGGAGCTGCCTCTCCTGACAATCGACTTGAGAATGGTCCAGGACGGACCGAAATGTTGTCGTTCCTTCACTTTCTAGCGAGTGGTTTGGTCAACATATTTCAGCCAAGTTATTGTGACTCCTTGTCTGCATGTTCATGGTAAATAGTGTGTGATTAACTGTTTAGCTTGCCCCTTTGCTCCTGCTCCTTTCTTCATTCTGGGCTCTTAAGTGTGTATTTGCTTACTATTGTATTGTTAGGGGTGCCAGTGGCTTTGTCAGCATTCTTGCTTTCTGGCCTGTTGTTTTTCCTGTGTTTGGTTTCCTGTTGAGGTAGGCCTTTGGTGGTGCCTCTTCTCGCAGTTTGCCTCTTGCTGAAGCTATGTTGGGGGCTGGTCAGGGTCTTTCCTTCATGGCTTTGTGGCATTTGGGCTATCCTGTTCTTTTGTGCCAGGGTTATAACGGACTGGAGACATTCTCTGGAAGGGTTCTCCTGTTGCCTCCCTTTTTGCCAGTCCAGTTGGGGTTTCCAGCCCTCTGGGCCCCATTGTCCGAACCCCCTACATCATTTAAGCCCAGAGATGTTTCTTGATGATTTGGGGCTCTCTGCTAATATACATGTTTGAGTTTTTTTTTTACTCTTGCCCCTTCCATTGCACAGACCACAGGTAGCTAATCGTTTGGTGTTTCACCTGTGGCTTTCATCAGTGACAGTATGAGGTGTCTTTGGTGCTCCTACAGCCTTTCTCTCTCTCTCTCTCCATCACTTGTCATAGATTGTTGTACCTGTGGACCTATAGTTTTGGTCTTACTTGGAACATATCTGGAGAGAGTACTGGGAGTTCTTCTACTCCCCGACTTGTGATAATGGTTGTGTCTTGGTTGTTTAATGATAGGCGTCTCCTGCCAAATACTGTCTTCTCCCCAACTTGTGATAATGGTTGTGTCTTGGTTGTTTAATGATAGGCGTCTCCTGCCAAATACTGTCTTCTCCCCAACTTGTGATAATGGTTGTGTCTTGGTTGTTTATGGATAGGCGTCTCCTGCCAAATACTGTCTTCTCCCCAACTTGTGATAATGGTTGTGTCTTGGTTGTTTAATGATAGGCGTCTCCTGCCAAATACTGTCTTCTCATATCATTTAGCCTTGGCGGAGCAACTGCTGTTGGAGTTTGTTGTTGACGTATTATCTGCAGCATTTCATGTTTTCAGACGTGTTAATCTCCGTCATGCTCATGCTCCTCCTGAGGTGCCTTGGTCTTGGGACAAGCTTTTGGTTTTTCTCTCTTCTGGGTTTCTTTTGCCCGTGTAGTATGGGTTTGTTTATTTAAGGTTTTGTACTGTATTTTGTCGGTCCTCATTTCCAGTTGTTAGATTGGGAAGCTTCATGCGGAGCCGGTCGGCCGAGCGGACAGCACGCTGGACTTGTGATCCTGTGGTCCTGGGTTCGATCCCAGGCGCCGGCGAGAAACAATTGGGCAGAGTTTCTTTCACCCTATGCCCCTGTTACCTAGCAGTAAAATAGGTACCTGGGTGTTAGTCAGCTGTCACGGGCTGCTTCCTGGGGGTGGAGGCCTGGTCGAGGACCGGGCCGCGGGGACACTAAAAAGCCCTGAAATCATCTCAAGATAACATCTGAAGATAACATCTCAAGATAACATCTCAAGATAACATCTCAAGATAACATCTCAAGATAACATCTCAAGATAACATCTCAAGATAACATCTCAAGATAACATCTCAAGATAACATGCTCTCCTCATGAAGTGGGGACTTTGCTCTTTTGGTTCTGGGGTCATTTTCATTGCTTATAACACTCTTGCCTTTCTCCTAACCATTTGGGCTGAACGGTAGAACAACGGTCTCACTTCCTGCAGGTCGCAGTTCAATCCCCAACCGTCCCATGGGAATGGGGCACCATTCCCCCCCCCTCCCCATCCCATCCCAAATCCTTATCGTGATCATTTACAAGTGCCATAAAGTCGTAATGGCTTGGCACTTTCCCTGATAATTCCTTTCCTTCTCTTGTCTTTCTGGCTAATATGAGAGATAGCTAGTTTTCAAAATGGTCCTTAGATGGTTATTGCTTGGTTGGTTCAATTGCGGGTGCTTCATTTATTGTCCGATTGCAGCCGTTCATCATTTACATCCTCACTATTAGTGGTTATCGGAGAGATGCTCTATTTGTAGATCCGGTGTCTCTGGTTCCTTGTTCCCAGGCTTCGTTTGTCTCAGGTTGTCTGCAGTGTCCAATTAAGCCAGCCTACTGTCTATCCTTGGGCCCATGGTGTTCATAAGTTTATGGCTCTGAGTTTTTTGTTTCTGTCTTGGGTAGATATTTGGGATCGGGAATTTTGGTGGTTCAGCAGAGTGCTGGTGGCACTCGTTCCGTGGTGAATGTTCGTAGTCCATGCCGGGTTTGTGTGGCTTTGGGTTAACTCATTGCTAACTCCTCCTCTTCCTGGGAGGTTACTTTCTGCAGCTCTCCTCTGCCTCCAGAGAATACCCCTTTTTGTTTTTTATTCTGTGGTAACATAGCACCAAGGAACCACCAATAGGGGCCCTTCCAGAAAAACCAGCATTGAATGTAATGAAGTTCCTCTTCTGGTGTGGCCTTGATGGCTCCTTAGGAGGGTCTTCGGGGTCCTCCCTTCCCCGTTCAGGGTGTTTCTGCTTTTCTGTCGTCATTACTAAATGGCTGAGGTTCATGACTAGAGGATTGAAGAGGAAGGTGCTCAGTCCCCTGGTGGTTCGCAGGTGGAACTAATGCCTGCTTGACATCTGCTTGATGGGGTTTCTGGGAGTTCTTTTACTTCCCAAGCCTGGCCCGAAGCCAGGTTTGACTTGTGAGAGTTTGGTCCACTAGGCTGTTGCTTGGGGCAGCCGGCAGGCCCACATACCCACCACAGCCCAGTTGGTCCAGCACTCCTTGAAGAAAACTATCTAGTTTTCTCTTGAAGATATCCACGGTTGTTCCGGCAATATTTCTTACACTTGCTGGGAGAGTGTTGAACAACTGTGGACCTCTGATGTTTATACAGTGTTCTCTGATTGTGCTTATGGCACCTCTGCTCTAATGACAGGACTGCTTTTCAGTCTGTCTGCCTCTTTCTGTGGGCATTTTCTAGATTAGGGTGATCTAGGATACCATGTTCCTTGCACATGTTTAGTGGGTGCCAGGTTTTGGTCTGTGGTTCTCAGTAGACTCACATTACTCACAAGGGCCTGGCCTGGATTGAATTGGGTGGAACTATCCATGTAGCTGACACCAAGGAGCCATCAGGGATCCACAAGAAAGAGGCATTTCATTATATTCATCATTGCTTTTTAAGTATTAATGAATAGTAATTAGGTCTTGTAAAGCAGTTACTAAAGTCTGCACTTCTATTGATGTAATTTTTGCCTTGTTTGTTGACTATCTCTAGGATGAGAAGCCTTCTTTTGTGGTAGTTTCCATCCTTGGTGCTGCACTGGCTGGAGAGGACGAGGAAGGGTTGCATGCCTTTATAGCTTTGGTATGGCTTTATTAACAGCATGTTTCTCTCTTATTGATTGGTCATTTGGGGCTAAATATTTGTAGTTTTTGTTGAAGTGTAATAGTAGAATACTTGTGTACAATATCACAAGAACATGATGAATGTGTGAACAAATATTGAGGCCGTATGATGGGATCAGACACGCGTACAATACTTGTGTTGCAATGAGAATGTAAATAACCCTTAGGTGACTAGCAATGTTCATTTACACTTTTCTTTGGAGAGCCCCTCCTGCTTCCCGGAGCTATACCGGGCTGATATGTATGTATTAGACTGTAGCATCAGACAATTCGATTCGAGTTCTAGCCTACCGGGGACCACAAGCCAGAACCTGGCCCCCCCCTCAGAGAGGCATGAGGAGCAATGTCTTATAGAAACCCCCCCATGTGGTTGGAAGCATTCTATGTCTGAGATCTACCAGGTTAGGCTCCCAGAAAGGTAGACGTCTCAAAACAAACTTCACTGGTTAAAATTGCTATCAAAAAATGAACTATAAAGCAGAACTTCACAATCTGAAAAACAAGCAAGCAAGCATGCAAGCAAGTACACAACCGCCGCCGCGCCGTTGTCTGCACAATTCTCCCCTAGCCAGGATGGGGAAGGGGGAGTCCCAGACCCCTCACGCCGGCCATCCGACCTCAGTTCTTAGGCTGATGTGTTGCATAGTGGTCATTTGACTCTGGCTCCTGTCTTTGAGCAATGCTGTACCTTTGCAGTGTTGTTCTACTGTGTGGTGTGCAAGCCAGGAGTAGTTCACAGAGTACTGGGGCTGCATGTGCCTAGGGCCTTCTTCCTTAGGTGCCCTGTAAGTACTGCCCTTGCGCCTTGGGGTTGCCTTTCACAGGTCGTTCAGGAACTACCTCCGCAGGGGTCTTTTGCTGCTTAGTGATTGCCCTCCTTTGGGGTCAGCTGGGGTTTTCATTTCCGCTGCTTAACCTTGGGTAGGAGGTAGTATTGTCACTGGTAGGGGTGCAAGGTACTGTGCAGCTTGTCACCTATTACACAGCAGCCAGTTCAGTTCCTCCTGGAGATGCTGTGCTATTGCAGGGCTTTTCTTTTTGTTTGTTGCCTGGTGGGGGGTCTGCCTCTTGGTTATTGTCTACACTCTGTTAGTCTGGTGGTTCCTCGTTAGGTCCCCGTGATTGTACATGTCGCAGGGGTTCAGCTTTAATTGATCTCTCGGTAGTTTAGGCTAACTGGTGAACAGTACTGTACCTTGCCTGGGCTTCCCCTAGCAGTCAGCCTAAGGGCCCTGGAAAACCCTGCTTGGGCTCTTTGGACCAATGGATGCGTCCTCTGGGTCCCATCTCGCCTTGTGCGAGTTTGAAGGTTGCTCTGTCCCCTTGTCTCAGGATGACAATCACTGGTTTTGCCTCTGTCATGCTGCCTGTTAGGTCAGCATGGTCGGTGACACTTTCGATCCAGAGTCCTGCGAGTGGTGTTCCTTGCTGGTTCTTCTATTTATCCAGTCCACTGATACTGATAATAGGGTGCAGGCAGAATCGGCGTTGCATGCACAGTTTCGGTTGCTGTAATGCGCTAGGTTGGTTGTCTTTCCGGAAGCCCCGTGGCTGCCCCGCTTTGGTTATAGGGACTTTGGGGCCATTAGTCGCCTTGACTTTTGTTTTGTCCGTGCCCCCTTATCCTTGCCCTGCTGTGGTTTATCTTGCTCCCCTTCCCCTGCTGCCGGCTCTCAATTGTCGGAGGATTTCGGAGTCGAGGCAAGGTCTAAATGGTGGTGAGACTCGGGTGGTCTCGTGGGCTGCCCCTTCCAGTTCAGCAACACAGGCATTCGAGCCTGCTCCTCCAGCTGGGGCTTTGGGATATGACCAGTGGACCCCCCCTTCCTTTTCCCAGCTCTTCCGGTTGACTCTGCCCTTTCTTTAGGGGTGGAGGGTTTGGAGGACAGCTCTGCCCCGGGTACTGGCATGAAGAATCCCGGGGCTGGGGAGGAGTTGACTTGGGGTGTTTGGGCCCCATGTTGACTGGGAATAAAGTGCTTGGGTGTTGGTACCCTTGGTGCAGGGCTTGTTGTTGCAGGGGGAGGGGTTTTCTTAACCCCCCTTCCCTGTATGAATTTGATATGGGTTCGACTCCTCCCCGGGTTCAGTTCTGGTTTCCCTTGGGCTCTTCGGTCCCTTCCTTCTGGAGGTTTTCGGCTTTCTGTATCTCACCTAAGGAGGTTTGGGAGGCCATTGTGATGTATCTCCTGCGTGACTCCGATTTTTCCCCGATAATGGACCCTTCCTCGTTTGATCTTGGTTTTATTTTTCCTTATTGGGTGCGTTATGAGGTACTGGAGTCATCCTGGTTAGCAGACTGTCCTTTCGTTTCATTGGGGGGCATGACATTCGTTCTGTCAGTTCCGCACGCGCTTGAGTGGCGGGAAACGTCTACTGTGGTTCAGGCTTACCTGGGGGGGGGGAGGGGGGAGGGGGGAGTTGGAGCACCTCAGTGCGTGCTTGCCCCATTCTTCCTAAGGATATTGGTCAGATGCAGCTCCATGTGCAGGTTCCCGTCCTTTTAGGGTCCCTGGTGCCTGGGGATTTGCATGCCTGGGGGCACTTGGCTTCAGTGAAGTTGTATGCGCCGATTCTGAAGGAGGCTGTGTGTCTGTTCTTAGTTTCCTGCCTCACATGCCGGCAGGCTGTGCTCGCTCATTCTATGGAATCTACATGGGCCCTGGCTCTTAGATTTTCATCACCTTTTTGTCCGTTGGTGTTTGTGGATTCTGTGGTTATGCAGTACAGTATCTGTAAGCAGCTCCTAATAGCTGTCGCCCTATGTCAGACTTGTTGCAGATGTATATGCATATTATGTCCAAAAGCCTGGCGAGAGACCCCACAGCAAAGCCTAAAGTCGGAAAAGTTACTGTGAGCACATAAAATCGGTAAAATATGTATACTCATTTCAGTTTTCTCATCTTAATTCTTGTGCTACGTTGTTCGTTTTGGTATCATTGTGTTCGCAATTAAATTCCCGGCAGATGTATATGCATATAATGTACAAAAGCCTGGCGAGACTCCTGGTAGCAAAGCCTACAGTTCCCCGTGAACGAGCACCAATTTGCACACCGCAGCCTAATGTGTATACTTGTTCAGTTTGATAACATCAATTTTCATGTTACATCGCTTGTTTTGGTATCAAATTGTTCGCAAAATAATGGTGTACATTTTAAAACTAGTCCCATAATAATAAAGCAATAACTGGAATTTTAACAAATATTTTAATTTTGGACGCTCATCATCAAAACTATTTATATATTTCCAGTGATCTGACATAAAATTTCATGTTACATCGCTCGTTTTGGTATCAAATTGTTCGCAATATAAAGGCGCACATTTTAAAACTAGTCCCATAATAATAGCACAATAAATAGAATTTTAACAAATATTTTAAAATTTAAAATTTAGACCCAAAAATGTACAGTGGTACCTCGCATAACGAATTTAATCCGTTCCATGTTCGTCATGTGAAACGGACGTCATACAAAACGAGTGTCCCCCCATGTAACCAGTGTGATGCACTGTGTTTATTGTGAAATTTCCCCAGAGTGCATGACATCAAATGTTCCCCAAAATAAAATTTTTCTTTGTAAAATGATAAATTACCGTCCCTGAACATGTCTATGTAAAAATAATTACCAAATTCCACTTACTTTGGCTGTGAGGGCGTGGACAAGGTGCGCTGTGACGTCATCAGGGCCTGGTCGCCCGTGTGTGAAGCTCCCAGACACGGTCGCGCAGGCCATTCAAGCACCGCGTGTTGCCACAAATATATTTTCAAATATTTTTTCTATGCATTTCCAATGCGGTTTTATTTGTTTCATTTATCGTATATGATGCATATTTGTGACCTTTACAATATGTATACAGTAGAATGTTCATAATTTTCCATGAAACTGTGATACATGTGTCAGTAATGTGTCCACAATAAATGTTTATTGTCACAATATTACGTGGTAAAAATTCACTAATATTACAATATGTACAGTTTCACATACTATTTACACAGTAACACACTGTATTACACACTCAGTACTTTGGAGGTGCATAATAGTCAACGAAGTAGTCCATGGTACACAGCGCGACTTTGCTCTCCTTGCACCAGCTACAGATAGATTTTTGCTTCCTGTTTCATCGTTATGTGTGCTTGCAAATAACGCACTTGCGTGCACCCTTGGCTTTAGTACTTGTAGGTGGTATGTAGCCAAGCTTGTAAAGCATAAAGTAGTATTGAAACGATTATAGGAAAAGCTCAATTTGTAAGGTAGTCTTGAAAAGATCGCTTTGTAAGGTCCCACACAGGAAGAGATTCAGCTAGCCTCAAAGAGTGTCCATCAGTCAGGAAGAGATTCAGCTAGCCTCAAAGAGTGTCCATCAGTCAGGAAAAGATTCAGGTATTCTTGAAAATATCAATGAACACCACCACCATGGAAGCCGCTAACACTGTTAATCTATGCTACTTGTATCAGATGCATCATCACTGAACGCAGAAAACGATTCATCTATGTATCATCTATATACATTAGAGATGGCAAGGGTGGGGCTCAGAGCTACACCTGGATACGCTTGCTGTATCATCCTCATAGGTGCTGTATCACTGGCATCCGACCGTTGTGTTAAGCCCTTATTGCGCCTAGCTTCACCAATGTTATGACCCTTATGTTCTTCAAACAAAAGGGTCTGAATTGCACCGACTGAGCACAGTCTTTCAACACCGTGTGGGACAGGTGTTTGAGAGCCAGAGGCACGTGTGCCACAAATGGTTGCTCACGCAGTACTAACCCAGCCAGCAGCCCTTGTCTTTCATATTCGTTATGGCAAAAGGTTCGTTCAGTTTTTGTTGGGTAGGCTGCTCCATTATGACAATCTTTCTTTGTTTCAAATGTGTTCCATTTGTTTTGTATTTGTCACTTACGTCTCAATAATGGAGCAGCCTACCCGACAAACACTGAACGAACCTTTATGACATTTGTC